CTTTATTAAACCAAAATTACCATCACATTTGAATTTAGTATGTCCAGGAATCATGAAATTCAGTTCAATATTTTCATAATAACCACAAATTACTAAATATAAATAAAATCAAATAGTTACATTATTTTTATTTTGTCCACCAGCATTATCACAAGTAATCTTTAAATGCTTTTCACCTTTATTCAATTTCTTAATTCCATCAAAAATCATGCTAAGAGTGCCATTAGGACCTTTTCCTATAATTTCATCTTCATTAAGAACATAATTAATTTGTTCCCTTACTGCTTCATCTTGAATACCAAATAAATGAACTTTACATGGACTAAGGTAATAAATTTTACTTACTTGTTGATCTGAATGTGGCACATGGACATTTTGGGCTCAATCATAACTATAATGAGCAGTAGCATCAATGCTACAATACTGTGATTTACCTTGAGAATAATTTTGGTCAACTAATTTTCTTTGTTCTTCAGCTAATTTGGTGTTTTTATTATAATAATATCTTTCTAATCTTGCTTTAGATAGATGTTCTTTAAATCTTTTGAATAGATCTTTGGCTTCTTCCTCCTGACGAGCATTATAATGCAAACCATCTCTAAAATGTTGACAAGTATCACACAAGTCAGTTCTTGGACTCATAATTTGAATCTCTGGTGTCAATTGACATCATAATTTTCTGAAAGCATCATATTTCAATGATTTCAATCTGTTATTTTCCTCTAGACCAGCTAGAAAATCTCTGTGGACTGATTTATAACTCATTTCAGCTGGTAAGAATACAATTGTTTGGGTTATTCTATTGATACTTCTTCCTGGACTTGGTAATCCATGGACTTCTGCATAATTTTCTAAAAAATTCTTTACTATTTCTGCAACATTTTTATCAATCACCATTTTAGTTTTCCATTGAGGCATCCTTTTAATATTACCATGAACTCTTGCTAGGAGACCATTGTTTATTAGATGATTTCTAATATTTTCAAAATAAGTACTACCAATTCCTAACATGTTGAGATAAGTTTATTGACAAAGGAGTGTATTGTGATCTCAGTGATAGAAAGTTTTTTTATTAGATCTGGTTTTCTTTTTAAGGCGTCTGCTGGTACTTGTTAATCCACCATCCATTGCTTTAAGTTGGGCCATTAAAAATATGTCCTGTTCAGACTTGGAAAGAGCTTGAAAGGATTCCCTTAATTCTGCAAATCCTTCTTTGGGGATTCTTGAAGAACAACCACAACCACAATCACAACCTTTTTCCAAAAAATCAATTGCTTTTTGATATTCATTAGAACCATTATATTTATTATTATTTTTCATATACACCTATCCCTATATATATAATTATATAATTTTATGTTCACTTTGTATGTTTTTCTAGGATTGTTTAATAATTTAGCATTAAAAATGGATGAAAAATCTGTCCAGTTTATCATGAAATGCTTGTCAATATTGACCAAAGAAATACAAATAAGGAAATTGTTTGCATAAAAAACTATGAACCTTTCTTATATATATCTATATTATCTTTAGTTTTACAAATATATTCGAATTTTTAATTGAATTTAATTGGATAGAATTAAGAGTGATTATTGTTGGTATTTGGTATATATATTTAAAAAGGAAAAAAATAAGAATATTGTTATTTTATGCTGTAATCCATTTCTTACATATTTACATATTATATACAAACGTTATCTAAAAAAAGCAATTGAAAAAAATTACTGGAATTAAATAGTCACCACAGATCTATAGTAATAGTAGATGAGAGTAAAATTCAAATTTACATAGTAAAAAAAAATTTTATAATTGAATGTCTTACATCTTGCTTGAGAGGAAACAAAAATGTGGGGACGGCCATCCTATTTATATTTTTTTTTGAATTAATAAAATAGACTATTGTCTTGACCTGAGTGATGTCATTGTGTGAGTAAAACACACAAAGCTCACTGTCAAGTTTTTGTTTAAAGACTTGTTTATATATTAATTAATATAATATCTATATTTGTGTTACATTCCGTATATTTATTAAAAATTATTTTGATATTTTGCATTATTTATTTGGAAGGAATTAATGGCAATAATCCCAAATGGGATAATTCACCCAGACTGGGATATTAATTAATTAAACATGTATATAAGGAACAAGAATTCACTGTACTTTAAAATTGACTTTGTAATAAGTTAACTTAATAGTGTGTTTTCATGTAATTGATAGTGTACCATTTTTGATTCAATAAAATCTATTTGAATCTACTAAAGCAAATAAACAAAGATAAATTTATTATTTATCAAAAAAAGAAATAAAGAAACTTTAAAGTATATAAATATGGACTGAGATTGATGTATCA